ATCAAGGCCTGATATCCATTTTCCATCGCATACTCCTGTAGCTCGGAGTTATTTATTTATAGCAAACAGGGAACAGTTTGCTAAGATCCATCACAGGTGTCCCGTCGCCCACCGAGAGGATGTGCGGTCTGATGATGGTCGAAGAGAAGAAGATGAAAAAGAATCAATGTGGTTTGGCAGCAGTCTGCGCTCAGGAGCATGGGCGCTAACTTCCACGACTACTAAAAAGTATTGCATGAGAGTAGGATTGTTACTTTCTGATGTAAATATTTCTAGTCATTCAACACCAAAATGATTGTGTTTATATTAATTTGATCATTGTGTGACCTCATGCCAAGTTTTCTCAGAGTTTGAGAAACTGTTACTCATATACTCCTGCAAACATTGTAAGATTTGCTAAATGTTTTAATATAGGGTACACACTACACGAGAATCAGGCTGTTTCGGGGCCTGATCCCCCCCCCCCCGTTCAGCAAAGCCACAATCTTTTGAAGTTTCTAAAGATTACCTTGCCAGACTTTCCTGTAGTGTGAGGTATGTTTAGAGTGTTTTTTTTACATCCCCTGATCTGCTCGGAGGTCCATCAAGAACGCACCAATTTTAAATCCCGAGTATTAAACATGTTCAATATTTACGGTTGAATTAAATACTATTTGAATGTGGGCCACCTGCTACGAAGAAATAATAATTTCATCTACTACCGGGTCATTTGTATGTATGTATGTATGTATGTATGTATGTATGTATGTATGTATGTATATATACACTGCATACATATACATAAAAAACAACAATTTCATGTTTAGCCCGGACTTTAAATCATTGTGAGGAGGAAAAGGAAGTACGTTTAGGCAGTGGTGGGCCGTCAGGGCCATCAAAGCCTTCTCTGCTGGTCTAAACAGAATCACAAAGTTATAGCTATTTTATAATTTAATAATTTTTCATAAATACACTACATGTATTCTAATTATTTTTCCCATTAGCTTATTATCTCATTGCACAGCTACTGTCTTCCTCAGTTGCTCTGCTTCCACTGCAACTTGTTTTAAGCAGAGCTTTTATCCAATCAGATTTCACCTCTGTGTATCAAGGTAAGAAGAGAGGCCCGAGGCCTGCTAGGAAGCCTTTCCAGTTTAAGTAAATGGGAACGATATTGTTGATTGTCATAGTCTTCAACCAATCAGACTTTTAGTTTGACATGTTGGGCGTATTTGTTGACATGCCAGAGCTCTCTAGGTAGCCTACAAGTACGTCATCATTAACGTGCAGCTCAGCATTAACGTGCGCCGTGATTGGTCAGTGGGCTAGCGTGACTGTTGTGAAGCTGACGCAGCGAGCAGAAGTTGGTATTAGTAGTAAGAGTTCAAGTTGAAAGATATGTAAGAAGTTATGACATTGACATTTTTAGGGTTTTGCTTGGTGTAGATTCTTTTTTTTTACCTAGTTTTGTTTTTTTAACACTCTGAAGGAGGAGGAGAAATGGATTTCTCAAGAAGGACATTTCAAGAAAAGCTGGACATCAGCCCTGACCCAGCCAGGAAAAGGATTTGTGCACCACGTTCAGTCGAGCAACTATGAACGGTATTCCTGGCTGACAGCGTCGGAGAAGCGTTGCACATTTTATGGCTGGAGAGGAGTGTGCGGCAGCTCCGGGGGATGAACTTCAGAGACCCCTATGACAAATGTTGAATATTTATTTAAGTGCAATTTTTTTCTTTTAACCCTGAAAGTGTCTTAAATTGAGGCAGTAATCTCCCAAGATCAGAGCTCCGTCTGTCTTCTGGAGCTGCCGCTCGCTGTATTCCTGGCGAAGTAGCCTCCCGGTGGCGAGCAGTTTCTGCCTCATTGTTTATTGGATTAATGTAAATTCAAACTATAAAAAGCACACGAATGTGTACCTTGAAGAGCAAGTCGTTCGTCGAGGTACAAGATATCTTTGTGTCACAATTTGACAACATTCTGTTGATAATGTTATTTCATTTTTGAATGTTTTAAAATGTACTGGCCATATATTTTGCATTGCACCTTTAAGCTGCTAATATGGCAGATCAAATATTAGTTTATTTTGTCACCCTGAGGTAGTCTGTGGAGCTCTTGAACACAAATAAAAGCATTAAAACACATGTATCCTTGAGGCCTGCAATATGTGTTGAATGTATTTTCCTCCTCATACACCTGCTAGGCACCATTTTAAAGTGCTTAAAATCCTGCATCCTTTACACACTCATTCACAAATCGGGTAACAGCCTCACTCCCGGCCTTTGCTGGTCCATTGCCACGTTTGTTTGCACGACTGCTGGCAACCCTCTGGAAGCAATGGCCAGCCTCAGCGCCACACCCGGGTACCAGCTGCAGTCAAGACCAGTACTGTGGTCAATCAGGAGGACTGTATTTCAATAGCATAGGATGAGAGGAAACCCTGTCAAAACCTAACCCCATTTTATCTCAATACTTTGCACATTACTCAGCCACATTGCGCAACAGTAGAGAGGTAGAGAGACAACCATATGTTTCCAGCAGCAGGATGCATCTTCAAAGGTAGAATTTTGATTTCATATATGTCTGCAGTCTGCCCACAGTGAACAGAAACCAACTTTCAATCAAATGTTTTCAACACTGTGCCAAGTTTTGGAGTAATTAAATTCAGCTGCTCTCGTCTTTGTTGTGCAAGCGATGCATGGCTAGGGCAATAGATGTTGCATACATCCTGCAATGTTAACCATTGAGCTATGGTGCCAGGAAGAACAACAAGAGGAATATTCCTAGCAACTGATATCTTCATGAGCAGAGGATGTGACAAAGAGCACACAAGACGACACGTCAGCAAATCACAATCCCACATGGAATCGCATTACGAAATAACTGGTGGTCACCTTGCTGCTACCAGACCTGACCAGGCGGCAACCTCCGGCTCTGAAAAGTGAAGCCAAAGAGGAAGTGCCTTGAAGTTGCATTCTCTTTACTGGCCATCAGGGGGCGACTCCTCTGGTTGCAAAAAGAAGTCCAATTGTATAGAAGTCTGAGAAAATGACTCTACTACTCACATGATTTATTACCTCAGTAAACATTGTAAACATGAGTTTATGGTCTCAAGCGCTAGTTTCAAGTCTTCTTCAATACAGCATGATGTTCATTCAGTAAATGATGGTATAATTTAGAGTAAAATAGAGGGGGAATACAAATGGCTCCTCACAAAATTGACTGATCCTCATTTTTGTTGAAATCTGACTGGCTTAGTCATTTACATTGTGAACGTGACTAGCGCTTCAGCTTACCTAAGCTTGTCTGGCCGGACATGTTTTGGTTCAAAATGGGCAAAGAGGTGGATGGTTGGTGGAGCTGTGGCGGGAAGGGGAGACAGTTATGAGCTAGCGATCTGATAACGCACCCACCAGTCACTGAAACTCAAAAAGATGTATAAATTTAAGCCGTAATATAATTCAAACAGGTGAGTTATATAAAAATTTACTCCCCCCCCCCCACAGTCATCATGAAAGAGAAATTAGCTATAGGGACCAAAACCAGTTGTCTACCTGGCCGTAAACATGTTTATTTCTGCTGTAAAGTTGGACATTTTTACATGGGGGTCTATGGGGATTGACTCGCTTTTGGAGCCAGCCTCAAGTGGCCACTTGGGGTACTGCATCTTCCGCATTAGCTTCATTTCTCAGCACCAGAAGTTTCCGCTTGATACTACTCAAGATACTGTTGTGGAGACAAAAACCATATGCTGCCATGGTGAGCGGTGGTGTGTGCACAAGATAAATAGTATCATCTGTGGTCAGACAATAGATGTTTCCCTTTCTGTTGTGGACAACAGCCATCTTCGCGTCGACTCAGTGGAGAGACTTTCCAGTTCTGTGTCCCAATGGTGTCAGTTCAAAAGCATTTTGACCAAAGTGCTTTCAACAAAACAATGGACTTTTCTCTTGTCCGGGTGTGGCTGTGGGCCATGCCAAAGGCTCGCCCAGATGTTTGGAGAGCAAAGTCCACGTTGGACCTGGACAGAGGCTTGTTCTACATGTAGCTTACTGGATGAAAGCAACAAATTGTCCCAAAGGCCTCCCTCTGATCCACAGAACTTAATCTTTCCTTAATGCTGTGATTAGACCTCCTCCCTCCAGGTTTATGCTGAGAAACAGCCAAGTCCCTTTCCAATCATTTATGAAAGAGATGTTTATTTCATAGTCATAGAACACCAAAACATTTTGTTTCAGTTATTTACTTAATAATGAAGTCTGATTGGAGGCAATAGTTTGTAAGGATGTACCATTGTATTTATTTATGTGTTTTCATTTACCTTAAAGGTTTTCTATACAGCAATGTCCATTCCTCCTCAATTTCTAATGATGGCAGATCTGCCACAACCGCAACATTGTCATTTTTTTCTCAACCACAAAAGCAGAAAATGAACAATTACCACTTTAGTGTCTAACCATTACTCCATCGGCCTGGAATGTCATGTGTTGAAGAATCATCACATTTCACTATTTATAAGGCAGAGAGATGTACCATGTCACTCTTCTCCAAACCAGAAACAAAAACATTAGTGGAGCTTCTTTTGCAGATTTATTTTCCTTTTTCTCTGAACTATAATGAAAGCAACCGATGATGGTGCTGAGAGTGGAGGCAGGGGGGACAGAGAGCCAGGCAGCGAGAGGGGGGGATGGTAGCGACTTGCTTTGGAGGAAATCTGGAACCTATAAACTTGGGCAACTTCTATGACAAGAGGCAAACGTCACAACGGCTCGCTTTGGTTGGCTGTACGGAACACCTTTGTCTCCGCCTCGTCCCTTTGATCGGACCAATCGCTCATGATTTGTTCTTCCTGTTGTCTTAAGCTCAGCTGTCCACAAAGAGTCCTCTAGACCAATCGGTGGCTCAGATGGGTGGGCAGCTGAAACTTTCGTGGTTCCCTCCCTTTAAAAAGTCAGATTCAGGTTGCTGTTGTCTCACATGCAGCTACAGGAGCGGGACATGAGAGCAGTCTGGTTTGCCGATTCATTTCACACTCACAGAGACTGTCGAAGAGGATCATTGGCAGGTTTCCACATGTGTGGATGAAGAAGCACTGTGGCGATCCAAGGCTGAGTACCGATTACTCACCCGTTTTGCTTGGCATGTTCAGCTGTGACAAAGCATAACGCTGAGAACCGTTGGAGAAGAACAACAACACAGCAGAAGGCCTGGAGAAACACGCAACGCCACAGAAGGAGTTCCTGAAGACAAACAGAACAGAGGACAGCCTCGCGGGAGAAGCAGAGGGGGAGTGGAGAGATATATTGGGGGAAAGAGAGAATCACTGGAGATATTCAGAGAAGGAGTGAAGGATCCCATAAAGGAGAGAAGAGAAAAAAACGTGGCCAAGCATGAGAGAGGAGGAGCAGTCTAATGATGACCACCTTGAGGGAGGGGGGGTTTCCAGCGAGGAGAACACGGTAAGACCACCATCTAACGCCTGTCCTGTTGTCGTAGCCACGCCAGGGGTCACCGGGCGTAAACGGCAGACGGGCTCACACACGGAGGATCACGTTACGACAGTTACTCCCACCACATCGGCACACGACGGCAAGATCAAGCCAGTGGAAGACATCCAGATCTACACGCTGACTGGACCAAAAAGACTCAAAAAGAGTCCTCAACATCGGCCGCCTTCTTTGGGCCCATCCCTCTCTCCTGGCCCCGATGATCTCTCATCCCTCGAGGACCCACACGGCCAGCGGGTGATCGCCAACATCCGGGAGCGCCAGCGGACACAATCTCTAAACGACGCCTTTACGTCGTTGCGTAAAATAATCCCGACGCTCCCCTCCGACAAACTGAGCAAGATCCAGACCCTTAAATTGGCGTCGCGCTACATTGACTTTCTGTACCAGGTTCTGCAGAATGACGAGATGGACACTAAGGTGGCTGGATGTAACTACCTGGCCCACGAGAGACTGAGCTACGCCTTCTCTGTGTGGAGGATGGAGGGGGCCTGGTCGACCATGTCTGCTGGTCACTAGCCCTGCCTGAAAGCAAGGTTCGTCTTTTGACTGTTTGCCCGAAAACAGATGGTGAAGTCCACACTATAGGGAAATATTCTTACTTGACACAGAGGGTTGAAGAGAAATCTGAACTGTGTCTGCTCACCAGCGGACTATCTAGCACCTCAGTTTAGATAATCTGTTTGCGTCAAGGATGATGGAAAGACTATTTGACACTCAAGCATGATCATTTTGACGGAGCTGATTTTTAAGCCACTATCACTTCGTGAAGTGATTTCATCGTTGTCTAGCAACATAGCAGATGGATTCTAATAATTCTATTGTTTTGCTTGCCAAAAGCAGCTGTTACTACTCAAGGGAGCCAATGATAATGTTGAAGAAAAGAATCAAAACAGGGACATTCTGCTCAGTGTATGATTCCTAGCTCTTTTTTATTTTTAAGACGCCATCACTATCGTCATCTTCATAGATATGCATACTTTGAGCCACATTTAAACTTCATTTAATACTTATATTTAACTTTATTTCTGCCTCAGGCTAGCAAGTGTATGAAGTTGTGTGTAATATTTAAAGAGCAGCAACAAGAAAATGCAGAGAAAGAATTCGAGGAAAGTCAGGACTGGAAAGACAAAATTGGATGTTCCAAGAGAGATTGGACCTTTGACTTCTTCGTACCCTTTCAACCCCCACTTTGCCAAGACTGACATATCATGAATCCCTGGCCGGCCCTGAACACAAGCGACGGTGGAAAAAGTAGCCACGGGCAGCCGTCGTTCTGACTTAAGTTTCTCTTCGTTGTACCCAAACCAAGCCCCTTTGTTTCTTCTGGTGCCAAAAAAAACTCTCTTCTTGAAATTCTTTCCTCTCGTTCTGGCCCAAATTTGCTTGCGTTGCACGAAACTGTGATGCAGCTACAGCGAGCTGACGAGGAGGCGTAATGAAAATAAACTGCCTCGAAAAAGCCATGAATCATGTGTGTCACCATCAAAGGGGAGGCTGATGTGGCTCCCCGCTGGGCTCCCATAAACCACTGGAAGTGATGGAGGAGGTGAGAGCTGATTTATGCACACACACACACACACACACACACACACACACACACACACACACACACACACGCATGCATAGGTGAAGCCGTACACTTGAACCCAAGCAGAAAAAACAAGCACCTCCCCCACGTCTTGGGTTTGGAAAAAAAAGTCAACATCCAGAATTGTCAAATTATATAAATAAAAACTGTTTTGTATCATTACAACCCTGATTTTTGTCTTCACCTGCTAGGTTTAGCCTTTATTCCATGTAAACAAGCAAACTCCGAAGAGCTGGGAGTTGTAGTTTTGTTTGTATTCGATACATATCCATGACAAACCACTTCTTCCTTCATTGCCAGTATGCATGAAGCCCAGCAACCTATCATTAGACTGTCCCGGGGAGGCGGCTAATGTTTCCAGCTCCAGACTAATGAAGTCCTTTTTTTACTGAGCCCAGTCGGCAGAGTGTGGTCTCCGAGGACTACCCTTCACTGGCATGTCAGAAGACACTTGACATTCAAAAATAATTCAGTTTTGGACCAAAAGAGAAAAGTAGCCCATGTGCATGTTGTGCATAAAATGAGAGTGGCCGGCTTTAAGAATCGTGGGGGATGAATCTTTGAGTGCACATTTCTTACAGCATTCGACAATGTGACAGCTATTTATTGTGAACCCCCCCGTATACGTCAATACTGAACCTCAGGGTAACGCCCATGCATCACCTATGTATTATTACATTTAAATCAAGTTCTGATTTTGTATGTTGATTCCAGCATATTATGAATAAAAACATGCGACATTTATTTCAGCTATTTTTCCAATGATGTCTTCGTTGTTTGAAATTATTTTATTCATATGTCCAACATCCAATGATGAATATGACAGATGCGTCTCTTAAATGTCTATCAGCGGTTACAGCAGTAACGCGTCTGTCTTTTTTGTCTTTCCAGCTGCTGAGTAGAGTGACTGTGATCGTCCCTACAGTTCTGCTCCATTACTGCCGTTCTCATCACATGGACTTTGATGCAAATGGAATTTTAGGAGAAACGGACTGTTTGATAATATTCAAAAGGCATCTCGATGAGGATGCAGGCTCACATGGAGAAAGGGGACATTTTCTGGACCAACTAACCCAACAAAGAGCTTTTGCTTACTGAGAATACACAGAAATTGACAACACAGGTCAAGTTGGATCAGCTTTTGTGTTTCATGTTTTCCCCCCTGGATGTTATTCTAAGGGCACTTCTGTTATAGCTGTCACGGTAGAACACTTAACCTGCAGTTCAAGCAAGAATTCAATCTCGGACAGTGATTGGTACATTTGTCTTTTTTAAAACCAGTTTACAGGCTTCTTTCTTTTTTTTTTTTTAGGAGCATTTACTTGAAGTATATACATCGTGGTGCTTTACAAAGGAACTGCGACACTGATACAGTATGATGAAATATAACAAGCAGAAAAATCCCTGGAGAATTAGATGTAGTGATGCATACAGCACATGAGTCAATATATGTCTAATACAAATAAAACTGTCTTCAAACTATTCACGAGATTCTTGTTGTTTTAGTAAAAGCGGATGCTGATCAGTGCAAGGACTCATACTGGCACCACACCCTCGTTGTCTCCTGTCTCTCTTGTTAAACTGCCTCTCTTGTTTTCCCTTCTTTTCTCCTTCCCCGGCCTTTTTTGTTTTTGTTTTAATGAGGTCTGTGTGCCTTTGCCTGGTCAGTCAGGAACACTTAATTCCTCCAAAAAGAACACGTTAATGTGCAATTAAGGGCCTGGGAATATTTATAGCCTGTTTTGGGCCCAAATTCTGAGTTGTGGCTTGATCTTTGCAGTTACGCTACAGTGACCTGCAGGTTTACGGTTGCATATCCTGATGCTTTAGCAAGAGTTAGGTCATTAAAAGCTTTCACACAATGTTAACCCACAAGGACAGTGTTACAGTATGGGGATAGCGGCTTTGATCGGTGTTGGTAAATGATGAAAAGGAAATGCAAATTACGATGAATCAATGGATAGTCACACAGTTATGAGACCTCATACATGGGGAGAACAAAACTCTCTTCAGTTAGTTTGTCTGCTGGTATTTTTTAATCAACACTGTGAGACTGTTACACAAATTAGCACCAGTAATTGAGTCGAAGGTTCTTAAGCTGAGGCATATTTCAACATGATTTATTTTACTATTACTCTCAGTGCCTAGCTGTAACTTAACATCAATCTTTACTGGGGCTCTCGTCTTCCTCGAAAACACTACAGCGTGCTTTGAAAACTGCTTCGCCATTAAATGTAGTATTTTCTGTAAATTAGGCAAAATCATGCAAAACGCAACTAGTTGAAGGCTCTGCTCACACCCAGAGGTTTCCAGTCAATCTGATTAGCCTTATCCTTAGGCTGAAGTTGAGTGGAGTTGTGATGGAAATTGATTGAAATTGATAAAAAGGTAAAAAGGTGTGGATTGTCCCAAAATAACAGGTGCAACACAGTTAACAGGAGAGTGAGGTAGATGTCAAACAGTTACACAGTCCTGAGGAGAGGTCTAATCAAGCACAAGAAGTAGAAACACCTGTTTGGGTGGACCATGATGAGGCTTATTTAAAAAAAATGTAATCTTATTAAACTCCGTTCAAAAAGTCACTGGTAACCATGCCACGTTTTGTATCAGGTTTAGCATCACTGCTGTTGTATAGGGAAGTATAACAATAATAATATTCTGTGCTGAACTGTTGTTGTGTAGCTCAAAGTTTCAATGAAACAGTTCCTTGCCCGATATGTACACATATTGTTACAGCGCGTTCGAGGTTTTCTTTCTGCCTCTTTGCCAGCAGACCATTCATTCTGACTTCTGCTCATTGAGAAAGTTTCAGTTCACAGACCTGAGAGGTTTTCTTGCCCTGCGGATCCACTCATGTTTCCAGCAGCTGACTGCTCACTTAGACGTTTCCCAGCTGGGATCAATGCCACTGATTAAGGGCCGACACCCCAAGTGAAAAGGGTAAAAAAAAAAAGCCTTAACTAATAAACTAACTAATAAATATCACATATCAAACTATCCTAGTTGAATACTTAGATTGAGATAATATTGTTTTGGTACGTTTCGTGGTATGGATGAGAAATGTGTTTATGACATCAAAGCATTCACATGATTTGTGACTGATTGAAAAGTACCCAAATACTTATAGTCACAAAGAAATTAAATGTAAAATATATATATATAATATATATATATAAATGACTGAAGAAGTTTCTCCTGAAGCCATAGCCATTCACTCAAAACAAAAACATAAAGAAATGTGTGAACAAGATGGTTGTCTGACCCCTGCATTGGTGCTGTTACGGCTTAAAAAACATTTGGGTTGAATGAATGATGGCTGAGGTAAAGAATCAGTATTCGTTTGCTTTTCAGGCTTTATTTTTTAGGAGTTTCTCCGAACTCAGCCAGTCAGGGGCTACTTTTAACCTCAGGATGTTTTGTTAATAACCCACAATTTAAATGTCAGAAACTAGTAATTACAGTAACTACAATATGTGTGAATGTGGCATTAAAATGGGAGATATTTCTGGGCTGAAGCTCAATATTAAATTGACGCCTAAATGGTTTACCCCCAAATCAAAAATACATATTTTCCTCTTACCTGTATCAATCGGGATTATATTTGTGTTGGTTGCCTGGTGTCGGAGATATCGGCAGTAGAGCTGCAGCCTTCTCTCCAATATAATGGAACTAGACGGCACTCAGCTTGGCAAAGCGGCAAAAATGCATTTGCAACTGCTCACAACAAGGTATGTGGATTATCTTGAGTAACCGGGTCATGATTTCTGGTTTTTCAAATGTACCACAAGCCGAGTACCCCCAGTCCCAAAGGAACACAGGACTTTCAACCACAACAGTGTTCGAAACCTTTGTTCAGGTTGTTGAGTTATTGGGAAGTTGCGTTTCTGACGTTTTTCCGAAACCTAACAATGTGGTTTTATTGCCTAGACCTAACCTTTGTTTTGTTGCCTGGACCTAACCTTTGTTTTGTTGC